TGTGCTTTTGCAGTGTCCACCATATGACATTATAGTGCACCATGTCGTAAGTTCTGCATCCAGGAAAGCCGCATGTAGTCTTTTTCTTTCTCCACATCGCTCCAACAATCCGCAATGTATGAAAGCCTTCAATAGTATCAACACTTTTCACAAATCCGCAGTAGTTGTATGACATCTCTAAGAAAGCCCGACATCTTGTAAGACTAAGACGATCTTCGGAGTGCGGCTTTAGCCGGATTGGTGTATGTTGTACAATAATTGTTATACATATCAGTGGCGCTTTGACTAGTCTTCAGGCATGCTCTTAGATGATTTGATTAGGCCTGCTAGCCAAAAGGCATCAAGTTTTCCGCATTTTCATCTGGACCGGTAGTCTTGCTATTATTTGTATTTATTATCGCAAACTATACTTCTTCAGTTATTCTAAAACACTAATACTTTCATAGGGTCAGCTGACGGGATGGCTTTTCAGTGCTGGACGATGGTAGAAGTGCTCCTATTTTCCCGGACTCTGCTCTGGCTCTTTTCTTGCCTGGTCACCAAGTTTATTCATTAATTATTATTCGATTTCGTACGACCCAGAAATTCATTGCTACCCGATGAAGGTTACGTTTCAAAGTTGGATGACTGCTCCGATTTTTCAAAGCCGTTATCCTTTAGGTGTTATGCCTAGAAGTATAAGTTTATACTGAGGTATGCAGCTTTTAGGTAGGATTACTTTGTACTCTTTCATATGCTTCAGACTATTCTTACGCATTGTTCAGTAGCCCATTTGTCGCAGGTCTTCATTTAAATAGTATAGTGCTCATGTTTACTGAGATAGTACGCGCTAGTAATGTAGGTTATAGGCAGCGAACAAGATGCACCGTCATATTCTTCATGCATGTCCCGTATCCATGCCCGCGACAATTGTCTGCACTGATTTAATTTCTCTACATTGAGGCCTGCACCAAGTCGTAGTATTCTGTTTTACGGATTTGATGTAATCTCGAGCTTTTTCCAGAAGACATTCTTTTCTTCCTCTTTCACCTTGCGGAGCACAGACGGTGGCAATTCCAAGTCAATGCTTGCTAAGTTGATTATTAGACCGGTCAGCTGAGGCATTTCCCCCTCTTTGAGTTCTGTAAGAAGTTATTTTTACTCCATTTCGACTTTTGTCATTCTAGACACATAACTATCTTTAATATCGCACGCCCTTCCACTTCGTTTCCTAGTTGCCTTCAATGAGCTGACATTCCTACCCACATCCGCTTCTAAGACAAGTCCTTGCTAACCATTCACACCCTTCGGGCTCTTGTTCGCATCGATCCCAAGGATGTCCCAGTTATGAGGATTTTTGATCAGAATATTGCCGCTCAAATCAAGGATATAAAAGTGATTTTCCATCGTGGCGCGTAAATCTTTCCATCGGTTAATAATAGTTACCTATCAAAGAAAGTACTACTGGGTCAATGTTTCTAGGAATTGTTAACTATAGGGACAAAATTACTGGAAAGCTGCCAAAATGAGTAATTAGCATGAAGCACTCCTAATCTGTTTATTTCATAATGTCACTAATTTGCGGCGACACAAAATTTATACATTGTGATGAAGTGCATCGGCGTTGTAACTGTTGAAAAAAAAAACCAATTCTCTGCCTGCGTTGCAAGTAAGAAGATAGACCCGAAATAAAAAAAGCAGCGCGTGTTTTTTATCCAATAAATTAGGGACACACCATAAGCGTTCAGAAGAAAAATCAAGTGTTGTCTTATCACACCTTTCGAAAAGGTGAATTGAATTAATGCTCTTAAAGCTCAAAGGCAGTGCTCGGCAGAGACAAATGGTGGTCAACAGGCTTTAGCCAAACTAAACCTCATATGTTATTCCGCGGTTTCAAGGTTAATTCAAGGTTAATATGAGAATGTCTCTGCCGTGAAGGTTGAATTGAGAGTTTCCAAATGAATTTTTTAAATTCAAATTTCTACGAATTTGAATTTATCCATCTGCTCTCACAAACTCATTGTACTTTTCAAAAATAATAAACAAGTGTCAGAGTCACTTCCGGCTTTGTTTCTTTTTATGGAGAGTAAAAGAGCAAATATGTAGTTCATTTAATGCTTTATTTTTATTGCCTTTCCTCGTGTTGCGCAGAAAATACTTCCTTAAATTTTTACCTGCGTCGCTCGGATTTGACTCATATATCGAGCACTTTTTTGCAATTACCTCTCCCATACCTTCTTCACTTCAGAGTTTCTCAAAAATCTTGAACAAGAGAATTCATTCAATTGAAGCAATAATACTCATCGCTGAATTCACTTGGATGACTCATTACTTATATGTTCAACCGCTTGCACATTCATTACATATAGTTAGATATTTCATCTACACACAACCACTTAATTGTCTGCTTGACTTAATGAATTTATTTGTTAC